GCAAAGGGTGTTCTGTCGACCAAGGACATAAAGATGTAGTTGTAGAAGTCTCCTTTTCTTTTTTCTTGAGATCTGCCTTAACTTATGCCTTTTAGATGTTTCTCTATAGGCTTTTAAAACAATTTCACAAATACGTGATAAACACTTACTATATGCCAGGCACAGTTTTAGGCACTGAAGACTGAACAGAAAGAGCCTCACTCTCTTGAAAATTACATTCTAGTGGAGAAAAGACAGTAACCAATAAACAATATTGTGATAGTAAGCAATAAACTTTAAAACAACATAAATCACGTAGTAATAAAAATTAAAAAAAAATAGAGTGTAGGAATGAAGTACTCCTAGGAAAAAGAAGGAAAAAGGGGAGATAGGGAGGATACAGTAAGTTCTTGCCTCCTTGTCAGTTGTCAAGCTCTGGAATCTACCAGCTGTGTGTCCACAGAAGCATTGGGCCCATCTTGATCTGACTATTTTCCAACTCTATCCAAAAAACCAGAGTCTCTATGGCTTCCTCTCTCTGTACTGTATGCTCCACAGTAATTCTCTATTTTATGCTTTTTAAAAGGCTTGCTATGAAGGTTTTTTGATTACTCTAGCCTCCCTTGGCCCCCTACATTCTGGAGATCTGAGGGAATCATCTTCCCTCCAAAACAAAGGGAAGCAAAACTAAACAGAATATAATCAGCAGCCCCCACAGACATGCGCGTGCACGCATGCCCGCAGCATTTTTGTTTTCTTTGTTTTCAGGTTAATGGTTAATTGAATTGTGTTTGTTGCATGTGTTTGTTGTGCTACCCACTCTCCTTTCAGAAAGTAAGGTCTTTGATTCGTTTGTGTTTGCACTTGTATGGAACCTGCAAGCAAAGTATTCTACATGGCATATTGATAAGAAGAAATATAAAGTCAAAAATTGTGGACAATTTCAAATATATGTAGGGAGAGATTGTGCTCTCTTTGGGGTAAGAAGACAGTGAATGGAAAGACAGACTATAAAAGCAAATAATTGATGGCACTGTATGGTGAGTGTCATTCCTACCTTTTTTTTTTTTTTTTGGCTTTTACCCACAATGAGAAATGACTCAGTATACAGCATACACATACATTATCTCTGTGTGTATAACCTAAACGTTATAATGGCATACTTAGATTTTATAAAATAATTTTTATCTGTCGTGAACTCTGATGTTTCCTGTTCTGTTCTTGTTTTCCCAAAATGCTTATGCAAGCCCTCTGCATTGATTTTACAACCCACCACCAGAACATAAACCATGGTTTGGAAAACATTGATGTAGTCAGGTGGCGAGCCCAGAGGAGGTGTGGTCAGAGAGAATATGGAGAGGTAGGAAGACAGAGAGCCTGTCTTGGAAAAGATTATACTTTGTCTCTTGAAGGAAGCATCTTTGGGGGATGATAAGGACAGTGTTGATGCTGAGTTAATACAACAGCATAGACAAGGAAGGCACAGACTTGGGGTCAGCAGTAACCTCAGAGGTCACGGAAAACAGAATTCTGATCCCTTTCTTAGGGAAACAAGGTAGGAGTGATAACTAAAGGACTGAAAAAAGATTTGTGAGGACAACTATTGGAGAAAAATATTAATATTTGTAACTGTGAGCAGCCTAATGTGAGAGCAGATCTATGGCATTTATTAAACATTATCATCATTATGATTTGCATTAATAGTCCATTTTCCAAAGCTTTTTACAATTACAATTATCATTATGTGGGCACAGGGGAGACTATTTTCAGGAGAAGAAACAAATGCATAAAGGCAATACATTGTTCAAAGTATACTTAGTTGAAGTGACTTTTTAGCAGATCAGAATTAGTTTATATCTCTGCTGTGGATATATCTGCATGTGCATTCCTGTGTTATCTCTGGAAGTTTCGGATCAAGCTGTACTTTAACACTCAGCTTCTTATCTTTTGTCGTATGTGCTTGAGTGTACATGTGTTATACATAGTATACTCTAACCTAACCCAAACTCAGCTGACCCCAAGAGCTCAGAGTATGGCCATAAAATGGCAAGACTAGAGCACTGAAGCAATGATTGCTTATTCCAGTCTAGCCCTAAAATTTAGCACACCCCTTTTCCCAAGGCGAACAGTAAATTGTTTGCCTTTGATGGCTCTCATTTGTTGCTGGGTTTTATTTCATTTTTGAAGAGAACTGGGTGATAGAGTGGGTGAAAGCTAGAGGAAGGAAATCTGGGATGTAAATCTATTTCAGAGCACATGTGTTGCTTAGATAAACTACTATGAAAAACGAGAAGGCAAGTGTAGATGTACAGAGTACTGTGGCTTCCTGTCTCCTAAAGCTCTTTATATTCTCTTCTGGAAGTGTCTGAGGGGGGCTAGGTCTCACCATCCGCCATTTTTGCTCTTTTGGTAGGTTTTCTCTTTTTACTTTTACCAAAATGGCCGGGGCAGCAGGATTCCTGTGAAACTCGACACGTTCCTTGGAACATAAGAAATATTGTCCTTTAGCTTTGCCTAAATTTTGTTTCTAATAGTTTTAGTATATCATCTTCGTTAGCAATAAAATTGGAAGATCATCTCTGCATCGAATTTGACTACAAAGCCTAAAAATAGATGAGTGAGGTCGAGCGTGGAAGTGGCCCAGCTTCTCCTTCCTCCTTTTCATTTTGTTTCAGTTTGAATGAGAAGGTGGCTCACACAATTAACCAGAACAGCAACTGGCTGGATGTCTGTGTGCTTTTAGCCAACTGGGATATTTCTGTGGGAAAGTTTCCAATTTTTAAGTCTCAATTATAGAGAGGTGGGAGGCAGCTGGTGTGAATGTCTGTCTGCAGGGTACGTGTGCACTTAACTCTGATCCAATATGGCATGGCCGTAATGTGCTTATTCAATAAAATAATTATCTCAGTTTTCCTGTACTCTAAAGCATCTTCTTCTCCACTACTTTAAAAAAAGGAAAAAGAAAAGCCAAAGCGAAGGTCACCAAAATGTTTTGGGGTCTCTCAACCACCTCCAGTGAGGCATATCAGTGATGAAGTTAAGCAAAGTCAGAAAGGGGAACATTAACTCACTAACTTCCTCTCCAACTCCATTGGTCCTCCCCATGAAAGTTCCATTTCAATAAATGTCATCATCTCCTCCGTTTTTCAGAATTTCTTGACTCACTCTCTCCTTCATCCTTGTCTCCAAGTGGTCACCCAATTAGTATCAAGCAGTCATGGTGAGAAAGGTGCTGCAGGGAGCACGTGGGCACAAGTCTAGGTTTGGGTGGTCAGAGAAGACTTCTTAGAGAGTTGATTTAGCTGAGACTTTAATGTTTAGAAAAATGTAGCCAGAAGAAGAGCGCTTAGGTAATTTTCATTCAACAAATTTTTATTGAATATTTTCTGTGGGCCAGGCTTTATGCTAGACTCTGCAGAGTTAGAAGAAAGATAGACACAATCCCTGCTCTTCTAGTACTTACAGGATGTTGGGGGAGAGGAAAATAGACATGAAAATGTAAGAACAAATATCTACCCAGCTATATATCTATGTAACTATCATTAAAGCTCTCTAAAAAATTTTTTTTTTCTCGGCTGGTGCCAGGTTTGAACCCTCCACCTCTAGTATATGGGGCCAGTGCCCTACTCCTTGAGCCACAGGTGCCACCCCAATAAGGCTCTCTAGAGGGTTACTCTCCTCTAATACATATTAGGAAATTAAAAATGTCATCATTTTTCCTACGAAACAGTCCAACCAGCAATTTCTCCTGAGTTTCCAGGGCTCTTCCCTGCTGCTCCAGGCTCTCTTGCAGCTGCCCAGAGCTCCCAATCAGAATCTCCTCCCTGTACTTTCCTGTCTGTATCTCTATGCTTCACAACAGGGCCAGAGTCTTTGCTGAAAAGCTGGGTTAATTACACATTACACTATAAAAGGAGAACACTGTAAAACTGTCAGCTCAAATAGTGGTTCCTCTATAGTTCATGGGAAAAAGAACCTAATTTATACACTCAAAAAGTTTATGTTAGCTGTTCCCTAGAGTAGCCAAGATAGATAAAAATCCATCAATGAAGGTGTCATTTGAGCGAGTAGTTAAGACAAGAAATATGTAAATATTGCTAACGTAGAGATGGACTAAAGCATTAAACAGAGGGATAAGTCCCATAGCTCCTGTGGTAAGGTGTCTTGTCTGATACTACTCTGAAAGAAGTGATGATAAACAGTATTTTGAGCTGCGACTTGAGGGATGGGAAGGAGGTGGCCTGTGAAAAGTTAGGCAGCTGCAGAGGAAGTGCTCCCCAGGGGTCCCCTGCCCTCAGGTCATTTCCTCTCTTCACAGGTGTCACCTAAACTCTTCTTGTTCACAATCTGGCCACCTATTTTTCAGGACAGCTCAGGGCTACCCACAGGGATGGCTGTCCTTCCTCGGAGGCAGGGCCTGCTTCTTAGGGGCAGGCAACACTTAGTTACACCCCTGGATGACAGGTCCTGTTTGAATGAACATTTTCACTCCCACTGTGCAGCCTTCCCATTCAGTACCCTGCTGTTCAGTCCCACTGTCTAGGGACATTTCTTTAATTACTGTTATTAAATGATACAGCCTTTGAATGAATTATTAATTTCATTAATCCGAAATCTTTTGTTTTTCATTCCCATCTACACTTCAGTTCCCAGATCATATTGTTCTAAGCCCCAATTACACCAAGGTCAGGAGGCCACCGAACAACTTCACAGGCCACAGTCTCGCGCGCAGCCATTTCCACCAGGGCTAGAAGACGCCCGGCAGCTCTGGAGGCCCAGGGTGCTGGCGCCAGGATGACGTCACCGAGCCGGCGGCCCTGCGCGGGCCATGACGTCACGCGGGCGGGCCTGTCCGCCGTGAGGTCACCGGGTGGGCGCGGCCAGGCCGAGTCTCCGGTCCCGTCACGGGAGGGGGCGGGCCCAGAGTGTGTCAGCGCAGCCGAATCAAAACAAGCCGGAGACCCGCCTTTTCCCTCCGGCTCGGGAGCGTCTCGCTCGCGCCCCGGGCCCCCGGCGCCCGCGCGCCTGCGAGCCTCGGTGGCCGCGCTCCGGCTCCAGGAAGCCGGGGAGGGCGCGGCGGCCGGGATGGCGCGGCGCGGGCCGCGCGGCTAGACGGGCGCTGAAGGAGCCGCCGGCCCGCGCCCTCAGTCCTTTCCCGGAGCCGGCTCCTCACGGGGCCGGGAGCGACCGCGCTCGGGGAGCCGTCTTCCCTCACGCCGGGCACCTGGACGCTTGCGGCGAGATGCCCAACCCCAAAAACAGCAAAGGCGGCCGCAAAAACAAGCGCGCCAACAGCAGCGGAGACGAGCAGGAAAATGGAGCCGGGGCCCTGGCAG